AGAGAGAGAGAGAGAGAGAGAGAGAGAGAGAGAGAGAGAGAGAGAGAAAGAATATGAGAATATTAAAAGTCTGCACAAGGCCAGGCGTGGTGGTACATGTTTTTAATACAAGGACTCAGGAAGCAGAAGTAGGTGGCTCTCTGTGAGTTTGAGACCAGTCCTGTCTACCTAGGGAGTTTCAGGCCAGCCAGAGCTATTTGCTGAGACCATGTCTAAAAAAGTAAAAGTTGAAGTTTTAACAAACACCAAAGCAATTTGGATATGTTCCTCCTCACGAAGGCAGTTCCAGCCACTTGCTGGGAATTCAGCCTTTGGAGGGCAGATCATGGAGCAGGGGGTAAAACAGATCATCAGGAAGGTGCTGCCTAGAATGCATGAAGCTCTGAGTTTCCCGAGTATCTGAATCACTTAAAGGGAGAAGAACTACAAAGAATTGAAGTCATGATGGATAGAGGAGATGAGATGGCTTAGGTGGTAAAGGTGCTTACCACCAAGACTGACAACTGAGTTCCATCCCTGTGATGGAAGGAGAGATCCAACTCCTGAACTTGTCAGACAGCCATATGCACACTGCAGGCCCTGCGTGGTCACCCACAGTAAATGAACAGAGGTCTGTGCCCTCTCATTTGTGTTCAGCTGTGTATGCTGCCTGTGTTTGGAGACATGATAACAGAGCAGCCTTGTTTTGTCTTGCTCCTCCAAGGTCACAGGGTGGCCTTGTCTCATGTGGGTGTTCTCTGTTGGGGAGGAGGACATTGGCTGGGGAACAGCAGTGACAGCTAGACCAGTGCCTGGCAACTCCAAGGTCAGCTAGGAAGGCCAGGCCTTAAGTATTTCTCAACAGTCAAATCAAGCTCAATTCTTCACCAGATGGTAAGAGCATGGCTTGTAAAGTTCAATGCTGTGTCTCGGTGTTTCTTGGAGTTCGGAGATAGGAGTGCTGCAGAGAGCCCGGCAGCACACGGGGATTCAGAGAAAAGCATCATGCAAACACGGGCCATTGGGAAGAGCATATATTCAAGGGATCTTCCTGGGTATGGTTGTGCTCATGTGGAATTTCAGCATTTTTGAAATCGAGGCAGAAGGATTGCTGCAAGCTTGAGGCCAACCTGGGCTATATAGTGAGTCTCAGGCCATCCAGAGCTACAGAGTAACCCTGTCTCAAATAAGTAAACCACCAAAAAAACCAAAAATCCCAGAGTCCCATGTCATTGTACATACTTGTCATTCCTGCTCTTGGGACGTGGAGAAGAGATGATGTCGCAAAGATGGTTCAAGGCCATCCTATGCTACATAGCAAGTTCCAGTATAGCTTGACCTGGTGGCTGGGGGAGGTGGCTCAGTTGATAAAAGGTTGTTTATGCAAGCATAAGGATCCAAGCTCAATCCCCTGAACTTGTATTTGAAAGCAGCATAAGGTGGCATGATTATAATTCCAGCACCAGGGAGACAGAAACAGATGGATCATTGGGACTTCCCGACAAGCCAGCCTAGCCTAATTGGTGAGTTCCAGGCCAGAAACAGGAGGAAAGAGATGTGGTTAGAAGCAGGGAGGGGAGAAGGGAGAGCAATAGAGGCTGAAATAGACAGGAGATGTCGTTCAAAAATGAATCAATTATCCAGGTAGGAAAATGCAACATAGGGATCACTTTACATCTACTAGGTTAGCTATCTGAAAAAGAGAGAGAGAGAGAGAGAGAGAGAGAGAGAGAGAGAGAGAGAGAGAGAGAGAGAGAGAAGAGAGAGAGAAAGAAGAGAGAGAGAGGTGTTACAAAGAAACCGGTGAGGTTTCAGTCCTAGTGCATTGTGGATGGAGATGTAAAATACCACAGCTGCTATGGAAAACAGGCAATTCCTCAGAAAGTTAAAATTAGAATTTTTTTTTATGCATTGGATGGAGGCATCGCCTGTAAAAAGCTGATTGGCCAACAAGCTGAGGCAGGAAATATGAGGTGGGAGTTCCGGCAGAAAGAAAGGCATTCTGGGATAGAGTGAGGCACAGGAGAGGATTCATCCTGAACTTTGAGAAGACAGTCTCATGAACCTGAGGAGAGGTAGCTAACCATGTGGCAGGACTTAGAATATAGAATAAACAAGATAATTGAGTTATAAGCTAACAGAAACAAGCCAATGCTATTGGCCTAGGTGTTTATTCATATGTAAGAAGTCTCAGAGTCATTATTTCAGGGAACTTGGGTGGAAAAGCTCAAGGTTACAGTCAAACATGGAGTGAGGGGGCTCAGCAGGAATGGTGCCTGCTGAAAACCTGAGCTTGGACCCAACTGACCCTGAAAGTTGTCCTCTGGCTTACACATGTGCTCAGTGGCATATTTACATGTGTGCATATATACGTGCACACCCACACATACATTAAATAAGTAAAATGTAAAATCAGTTTTTGAAAGTTAAACAGAGTTTGTGGGTGTAACTCAATGATAGAGTGTTTGCCTACCAAGTGCAAGACCCTAGATTCTACCTCCAGCAAAACACACACACACACACACACACACACCACACACACACACACACACACACACACACACACACACACGTTGCCTCTGGTGGTGTATGTTTGTAATTTCAGTGTTAGGGAAGAAGAGACAGGAAGATCCCTGGGGCTGGCCACCATGTTGAATTAGAGTGATCTAGGTAACATGAGAGACTTGTCTCAAAATTGAGTGGAGATCAGTTGAGGAAGACAGCCGAGGTTTACCTCTGACCTCCATATGCTTATTTCCAGATACACACACAACAACAACAACCACAACCGCCACCAATCACAATCACCACCCACTCAAAAAAAATGAAGAAGAGAAAAGAAATAAGCACACATGAGTCAGTCATTCCGCGCATAGGATTGTGTGGTGGCTTGAATGTGCTTGGCCTGTGGGAAGTGCCACTATTAGGAGGCATGGCCCTATTGGAGGAGGTATGTCCTCGTTAGAGGACATGTGTCACTATAGAGGCAGGGCTTTGAGGTCTCATATATATGTTGAAGTCTGGCCAGTGTGATCCAGACCCTTCTTCTCCTGGCTGCCTTTGGATCAACATGTAGAACTCTCAGCTTTTCCAGTACCATGTCTGCCTGAGTGCTGCTATGCTTCCCACTATGGTGATAATGGACAAAACCTCTGAAACTGTAAAATTAAATGGCATCCTTTTAAGAGTTGCTTTGGTCTTGTCTTTTCACAGCAATGAAACCCTAATTAAGATTAAAACCAGGGATTTGAATAAGTTCATATTCCTGAGTGTTCATAACATCTTTATTCATAAGAGTCAAAAGGTGGACATAGCTCAGATGTCCAACAATAGGTGAATGGATAAACACGTCGTGGTTCACCAAGTGGAATATTACTCACCTCCAGAAGAGATGAAATTATGATACATGTTATCATGTTAACAAACCTAAGAGAGTAGCAAAAGAGGCATATATATATATACATACATACATATATATA